TGTCACCGAGGGTCCTTGATGGTCCCTGAATGTCCCCGAGTGTCACCGAGGGTCCCTGAGTGTCCCTGAATGTCCCTGAGTGTCCTTGAGGATCACCGAGTGTCACCAAGGGTCACCAAGGGCCACCGAGTGTCACCGAGGGTCCCTGAGTGTCCCTGAGTGTCACCGAGGGTCACCAAGGGTCCCTGAATGTCCCTGAGTGTCACTGAGGGTCACTGAGTGTCACCAAGGGTCACCAAGGGTCACCCGGGGGCAGGTACGGGGCACCGGGGTGCCTGGGTGTCACCGAGTGTCACCGAGGGTCACCGAGTGTCACCAAGGGTCACCGAGGGTCCCTGGATGTCCCCGAGTGTCACCGCGGGTCCTTGAGGGTCCCTGAATGTCCCTGAGTGTCCTTGAGGGTCACCGAGTGTCACCGAGGGTCACCGAGGGTCCCTGAGTGTCCTTGAGGGTCCCTGAGTGTCCCCAAGTGTCACCGAGGGTCCCTGAATGTCCCTGAGTGTCCCTGAGTGTCCTTGAGGGTCCCTGAGTGTCCCAGAGTGTTCCTGAGGGTCCCCGAGTGTCACCGAGTGTCACCAAGGGTCCTTGAGTGTCCTTCAGGGTCCCTGAGTGTCACCGAAGGTCACCGAGGGGCACAGGAGGTCACTGAGTGTCCCTGAATGTCACCGAGGGTCACTGAGTGTCACCGAGGGGCACTGAGGGGCACCGAGGGTCCCCCATGATCCCCGGACCCCCCGGGTGGGGTTTTTGGGATCTCTGAGTGTCCCCAAGTGTCCCCCACGGACCCCCCTGAACCCCTGGGTGGGGGTCCCTGAGTGTCCCCTGTGGATGGGGGTCCCTGAGTGCCCCCAAGTGTCCCCCACAACCCCTTCGGACCCCTGGGCGGGGGTCCCTGCTGTCCCCGTGTCCCTGTGTCCCCTGTCCCCGTGTCTGAGGCCGTGTCCCCTGTCCCTGTCCCTGTCCCCTGTCCCTGTCCCCTGCTGAGGCCGTGTCCCCAGTGTCCCTGTCCCCGTGTCCCCTGTGGGTGGGGGTCCCTGCTGTCCCCTGTCCCCGTGTCTGAGGCCGTGTCCCCAGTGTCCCTGTCCCTGTCCCTGTCCCCTGTCCCCATGTCTGAGGCCGTGTCCCCCTGTCCCTGTCCCCTGTCCCCATGTCTGAGGCCGTGTCCCCCTGTCCCTGTCCCCTGTCCCCGTGTCTGAGGCCGTGTCCCCTGTCCCCTGTCCCCGTGTCCCCAGTGTCCCTGTCCCCTGTCCCCCCAGTACCTGCTGGACTGTGACAAGGTCCCGTCCCTGCCCAACGTCACCTTCGTCCTGGGGGGCAAGGAGTTCACGCTCGGCCCCCAGCACTACGTGCTGCAGAGCACCCCTGCCCCCCCAGGCTGTCGCTGGGGACCCCGGGGGTGGCGGGGTGCCGGGACCCCCCCCTGTGCCGGGGCGGCTGCGAGGCCATCGTGGACACGGGGACGTCGCTGCTCACCGGGCCCAGCCACGAGGTGGCCGCGCTCAACCGCGCCCTGGGGGCCACCGGCGGCATCGGGGGGCAGGTACGGGCACCGGGGACACCGGGGACACCGGGGGTCATTGAGGGTCACCCGGGGGCAGGTACGGACACGGGGGACACCGGGGGACACCGGGGGTCCCCAAGTGTCATTGAGGGTCACCCGGGGGCAGGTACGGGGCACCGGGGGTCCCTGGGTGTCCCCAAGTGTCACTGAGGGTCACCGAGTGTCACCGAGGGTCACCAAGGGCCACCGAGTGTCACCGAGGGTCCCTGAGTGTCACCGAGGGTCACCGGGGGTCCCTGGGTGGCACCGAGTGTCACCCAGGGTCCCTGGGTGTCCCCAAGTGTCACCGAGGGTCACCGAGGGTCCCCAAGTGTCATTGAGGGTCACTGGGGGACAGGTACGGGTCACCAAGGGCCAGGGTGTCCCCAAGTGTCACTGAGGGTCACCGAGTGTCACCAAGGGTCACCAAGGGCCACCGAGTGTCACCGAGGGTCCCTGAGTGTCCCTGAATGTCCCTGAGTGTCACCGAGGGTCCTTGAGACACACCCTGTCCCCTCGGTTTGTCCCCGTGTCCCAGCAGTGCTGAGTGTCCCCAGTGTCCCTGAGTGTCCCTGTGCCCTCTGTCCCCTGTGTCCCCGAGTGTCCCAATTTCCCCTTGGCCTCTCTGTCCCCACGTCCCTGTGTGTCCCTGAGTGTCCCTGAGTGTCTCTCACTGTGTCCCTGTCCCCTCTGTCCCAGCCATGGTGGCCTTGGTGGTGCAGCTGGCCCAGGGCCGCGTCCGAGTGTCACCGAGGGTCCCTGAGTGTCCCTGAGTGTCACCGAGGGTCACCAAGGGTCCCTGAATGTCCCTGAGTGTCACTGAGGGTCACCGAGTGTCACCAAGGGTCACCAAGGGTCACCCGGGGGGCAGGTATGGGGCACCGGGGGTCCCTGGGTGTCACCGAGTGTCACCCAGGGTCCCTGGGTGTCCCCAAGTGTCACCGAGGGTCACCGAGGGTCCCCAAGTGTCATTGAGGGTCACTGGGGGACAGGTACGGACACCGGGGTGCCTGGGTGTCCCCAAGTGTCACTGAGGGTCACCGAGTGTCACCAAGGGTCACCAAGGGTCACCGAGGGTCCCTGAATGTCCCTGAGTGTCACCGAGGGTCCTTGAGAGTCCCTGAATGTCCCTGAGTGTCCTTGAGGATCACCGAGTGTCACCAAGGGTCACCAAGGGCCACCGAGTGTCACCGAGGGTCCCTGAGTGTCCCTGAGTGTCACCGAGGGTCACCAAGGGTCCCTGAATGTCCCTGAGTGTCACTGAGGGTCACTGAGTGTCACCAAGGGTCACCAAGGGTCACCCGGGGGCAGGTACGGGGCACCGGGGTGCCTGGGTGTCACCGAGTGTCACCGAGGGTCACCGAGTGTCACCAAGGGTCACCGAGGGTCCCTGGATGTCCCCGAGTGTCACCGCGGGTCCTTGAGGGTCCCTGAATGTCCCTGAGTGTCACTGAGGGTCACCGAGGTCCCCAAGTGTCATTGAGGGTCACCCGGGGGCAGGTACGGGGCACCGGGGTGCCTGGGTGTCACCGAGTGTCACCGAGGGTCACCGAGTGTCACCAAGGGTCACCGAGGGTCCCTGGATGTCCCCGAGTGTCACCGCGGGTCCTTGAGGGTCCCTGAATGTCCCTGAGTGTCCTTGAGGGTCATCGAGTGTCACCGAGGGTCACCAAGGGTCACTGAGGGTCCTTGAGGGTCCCTGAGGGTCCCCAAGTGTCACCGAGGGTCCCTGAATGTCCCTGAGTGTCCCTGAGTGTCCTTGAGGGTCCCTGAGTGTCCCAGAGTGTTCCTGAGGGTCCCCGAGTGTCACCGAGTGTCACCAAGGGTCCTTGAGTGTCCTTCAGGGTCCCTGAGTGTCACCGAAGGTCACCGAGGGGCACAGGAGGTCACTGAGTGTCCCTGAATGTCACCGAGGGTCACTGAGTGTCACCGAGGGGCACTGAGGGGCACCGAGGGTCCCCCATGATCCCCGGACCCCCCGGGTGGGGTTTTTGGGATCTCTGAGTGTCCCCAAGTGTCCCCCACGGACCCCCCTGAACCCCTGGGTGGGGGTCCCTGAGTGTCCCCTGTGGATGGGGGTCCCTGAGTGCCCCCAAGTGTCCCCCACAACCCCTTCGGACCCCTGGGCGGGGGTCCCTGCTGTCCCCGTGTCCCTGTGTCCCCTGTCCCCGTGTCTGAGGCCGTGTCCCCTGTCCCTGTCCCTGTCCCCTGTCCCTGTCCCCTGCTGAGGCCGTGTCCCCAGTGTCCCTGTCCCCGTGTCCCCTGTGGGTGGGGGTCCCTGCTGTCCCCTGTCCCCGTGTCTGAGGCTGTGTCCCCTGTCCCCTGTCCCCTGTCCCTGTCCCCTGTCCCCGCGCTGAGGCCGTGTCCCCTGTCCCCGTCCCCCTGTCCCCTGTGGGTGGGTGTCCCCGAGTGTCCCCCTGTCCCCGTGTCTGAGGCCGTGTCCCCAGTGTCCCTGTCCCCTGTCCCCGCGCTGAGGCCGTGTCCCCTGTCCCCTGTCCCCGTGTCCCCAGTGTCCCTGTCCCCTGTCCCCGCGCTGAGGCCGTGTCCCCTGTCCCCTGTCCCCGTGTCCCCAGTGTCCCTGTCCCCTGTCCCCGCGCTGAGGCCGTGTCCCCTGTCCCCTGTCCCCGTGTCCCCAGTGTCCCTGTCCCCTGTCCCCGCGCTGAGGCCGTGTCCCCTGTCCCCTGTCCCCGTGTCCCCAGTGTCCCTGTCCCCTGTCCCCGCGCTGAGGCCGTGTCCCCTGTCCCCTGTCCCCGTGTCCCCAGTGTCCCTGTCCCCTGTCCCCGCGCTGAGGCCGTGTCCCCTGTCCCCTGTCCCCGTGTCCCCAGTGTCCCTGTCCCCTGTCCCCCCAGTACCTGCTGGACTGTGACAAGGTCCCGTCCCTGCCCAACGTCACCTTCGTCCTGGGGGGCAAGGAGTTCACGCTCGGCCCCCAGCACTACGTGCTGCAGGTGAGACTGTCACCCCTGTGTCACCCCTGTGTCACCTGTGTGTCCCCCCTGTGTCACCTGTGTGTCCCCCCTGTGTCACCTGTGTGTCCCCCCTGTGTCACCTGTGTGTCCCCCCTGTGTCACCTGTGTGTCCCCCCTGTGTCACCTGTGTGTCCCCCCTGTGTCACCTGTGTGTCCCCCCTGTGTCACCTGTGTGTCCCCCCTGTGTCACCTGTGTGTCCCCCCTGTGTCACCTGTGTGTCCCCCCTGTGTCACCTGTGTGTCCCCCCTGTGTCACCTGTGTGTCCCCCCTGTGTCACCTGTGTGTCCCCCCTGTGTCACCTGTGTGTCCCCCCTGTGTCACCTGTGTGTCCCCCCTGTGTCACCTGTGTGTCCCCCCTGTGTCACCTGTGTGTCCCCCCTGTGTCACCTGTGTGTCCCCCCTGTGTCACCTGTGTGTCCCCCCTGTGTCACCTGTGTGTCCCCCCTGTGTCACCTGTGTGTCCCCCCTGTGTCACCTGTGTGTCCCCCCTGTGTCACCTGTGTGTCCCCCCTGTGTCACCTGTGTGTCCCCCCTGTGTCACCTGTGTGTCCCCCCTGTGTCACCTGTGTGTCCCCCCTGTGTCACCTGTGTGTCCCCCCTGTGTCACCTGTGTGTCCCCCCTGTGTCACCTGTGTGTCCCCCCTGTGTCACCTGTGTGTCCCCCCTGTGTCACCTGTGTGTCCCCCCTGTGTCACCTGTGTGTCCCCCCTGTGTCACCTGTGTGTCCCCCCTGTGTCACCTGTGTGTCCCCCCTGTGTCACCTGTGTGTCCCCCCTGTGTCACCTGTGTGTCCCCCCTGTGTCACCTGTGTGTCCCCCCTGTGTCACCTGTGTGTCCCCCCTGTGTCACCTGTGTGTCCCCCCTGTGTCACCTGTGTGTCCCCCCTGTGTCACCTGTGTGTCCCCCCTGTGTCACCTGTGTGTCCCCCCTGTGTCACCTGTGTGTCCCCCCTGTGTCACCTGTGTGTCCCCTGTGTGTCACCTCTGTCACCTGTGTGTCACCCGTGTCCCCAGGTGTCCCAGTGGGGGTCCCCCACGTGTGTCAGTGGCTTCATGGCCCTGGACGTCCCCGCGCCCGCGGGGCCCCTCTGGATCCTGGGGGACGTTTTCCTGGCCGTGCACTACGCCGTGTTCGACCGCGACCGCGACCGCGTGGGGCTGGCACGCAGCAAGTGACACCGGGGACACCCTGGGGACACTGCCAGGACACCCCCAGGACACCCCAAGGACTCCTCGGGATGATTGGGACACCTCGGGGACACCCTGGGGACACTTCAGGGACACCTCAGGATCATCGGGACGCCTCGGCGACAGCCCCAGGACACCCTGGGGACCACCCTGGGGACATCTGCGTCCTCCCTGGGGACACCTGGGTGTCCCCAAGTGACCCCAAGGACCCCCGGGGACCCCCTGGATGTCACCCCAGGGTCACCCGGCTCCTCTCGGGACCCCCTGGATGTCACCCCAGGTCACCTGGGACCCCCTGGATGTCACCCCGGCATCACCTGGCTCCTTTTGGGACCCCCTGGATGTCACCTGGGGTCACCTGGCCCCTCTCAGGACCCCCTGGATGTCACTTGGGGTCACCTGGCCCCTCTCAGGACCCCCTGGATGTCACCTGGGGTCACCTGGCCCCTCTCTGGGACCCCTGGGGACCCCCTGGATGTCACCTGGGGTCACCTGGGACCCTCTGGATGTCACCCGGGGTCACCTGGGACCCCCTGGATGTCACCGGGGTCCCCTTGGGGGGCCCCAATAAAGCTGCTGGTTTGGGGGCTCCTGGTCCTGCCTCTTTCCTGGGGGGGACCCCAAGTGACAGTGACGCCCCCTCCCCACCCAGTCCTTCCCAGTAACCCCCAGTGCCCCCCAGTCCCTCCCAGTGACCCCCAATCCCCCCATTAATGGGCGGGGCATGAGAGGGGGGGAGTGGCTTCCTTAAATACAGGGGTCTCCAATGTGGGCGGGGCCTCCATGATGTGGGTGTGGCCTTGTCTCGCTGTGGGCGTGGCTTTCTCTCAGGGCAGCGCGGGGGGCGTGGCTTTCCTCAGGGGTGGGCGTGGCCTCCCGCATCCCACACGCGCACCGGGCCCGCCGCGCCGTGCGCCTCTGTCCCTCCGCCTGTCGCGACTGTCGCCGTGTCTCGGCGAGCCCATGGCGACCAGGAGGTGACCCGGGTGGGAGTGGGGAGGTGTAGGGAGGTGTGGGTGTCCTCACCTCGCGGTGGGCGTGGCTTCCCCTCACTACGTGTCTCGGCGAGCCCATGGCGACCAGGAGGTGACCCGGGTGGGAGTGGGGAGGTGTAGGGAGGTGTGGGTGTCCTCACCTCGCGGTGGGCGTGGCTTCCCCTCACGGTGGGCGCGGTGTCCAGAAAGGCGGGCTTTTCCCTCACGGTGGGCGGGGCCTCCCCTCACAGTGGGCGTGCCCTCCCCTCACGGTGGGCGTGGCTTCCCCTCACGGTGGGCGCGGTGTCCAGAAAGGCGGGCTTTTCCCTCACGGTGGGCGGGGCCTCCCCTCACAGTGGGCGTGCCCTCCCCTCACGGTGGGCGTGGCTTCCCCTCACGGTGGGCGTGGTGTCCAGAAAGGCGGGCTTTTCCCCTCACGGTAGGAGGGCTCTCCCCTCACGGTGGGCGTGGTTTCAATAAAGGCGGGCTTTCTCCCTTCAGTGTGGGCGTGTCCTCCCCTCACGGTGGGCGTGGTCTCTATAAAGGCGGGCTTTTCCCCCTCAGGGTGGGCGTTTTTCCCTCTCAGAGTGGGCGTGCCCTCCCCTCACGGTGGGCGTGGTCTCAATAAAGCCGGGCTTTTCCCCCACAGGGTGGGCGTTTTTCCCTCTCAGTGTGGGCGTGCCCTCCCCTCACGGTAGGAGGGCTCTCTCCTCAGAGTGGGCGTGCCTTCCCTCACGGTGGGCGTGGTTTCCATAAAGGCGGGCACCTTCCCCTCAGAGTGGGCGTGTCCTCCCCTCAGTGTGGGCGTGCCCTCCCCTCAGAGTGGGCGTGCCCTCCCCTCACGGTGGGCGTGGTTTCAATAAAGGCGGGGGTTGCCCCCTCAGTGTGGGAGTGCCCTCCCCTCACGCAGTGTGGGCGTGCCCTCCCCTCAGAGTGGGCGTGCCCTCCCCTCACGGTGGGCGGGGCCTCCCCTCACGGTGGGCGTGGTCTCAATAAAGGCGGGCTTTTCCCCTCACAGTGGGCGTGTTCTCCCCTCACGGTGGGCGTGGTTTCAAGAAAGGCGGGCTTTCTCCCTCACAGTGGGCGGGTCCTCCCCTCACGATGGGCGTGTCCTCCCCTCACGGTAGGAGTGCTCTCCCCACTCGGTGGGCGTGGTTTCTATAAAGGTGGGCTTTACCCCTCAGTGTGGGCGTGCCTCCCCTCACGGTGGGCGTGCCCTCCCCTCACGGTGGGCGTGGTCTCTATAAAGGCGGGGTTTGCCCCTCAGTGTGGGCGTGCCCATCCTTCAAAATGGGCGTGTCCTCCCTCAGAGTGGGCGTGCCCTCCCCTCGCGGTGGGCGTGCCCTCCCCTCACGGTGGGCGTGCCCTCCCCTCAGAGTGGGGGTGCCTCCCCACAGAGTGGGCGTGCCCTCCCCTCACGGTGGGCGTGGTCTCTATAAAGGCGGGGTTTGCCCCTCAGTGTGGGCGTGCCCATCCCTCAAAATGGGCGTGTCCTCCCTCAGAGTGGGCGTGCCCTCCCCTCACGGTGGGCGTGGTCTCTATAAAGGCGGGGTTTGCCCCTCAGTGTGGGCGTGCCCATCCCTCAAAATGGGCGTGTCCTCCCTCAGAGTGGGCGTGCCCTCCCCTCACGGTGGGCGTGGTCTCTATAAAGGCGGGGTTTGCCCCTCAGTGTGGGCGTGCCCATCCCTCAAAATGGGCGTGTCCTCCCTCAGAGTGGGCGTGCCCTCCCCTCACGGTGGGCGTGCCCTCTTCTCACGGTGGGCGTGCCCTCCCCTCAGAGTGGGCGTGCCTCCCCACAGAGTGGGCGTGCCCTCTTCTCACGGTGGACATGGTCTCTATAGAGGCGGGGTTTCGCTGTGAGGGGGCTCTAGAGCGGTTTAGGGCATTTCTGAGGGGGTTTAGAGGTGTTTAGGGTGGATTTGAAGGGGTCTTGGGGGCTTTAAGGGGGCTCTAGAGGGGCTTAGGGCAGCTGTGAGGGGGCTCTAGAGGGGTTTAGGGCATTTCTGAGGCAGTTTAGGGGGGTTTAGGACAGCTCTGAGGGGGTCTTGGGGGCTGTGAGGGGGCTCTAGAGGGGTTTAGGGCATTTCTGAGGCGGTTTAGGGGGGTTTAGGACAGCTCTGAGGGGGGCTTGGGGGCTGTGAGGGGGC